GTCCCGGCGTCGGACGCGGCCCAGCGCCGAACCATGGTGAGTCCCGCTTCGCAGCCCGGGGGTCCCCGCCGCCTTCGCGCAGCGCACTCTGCGCCGCCAGCCCCCAGCCCGGTCCTCCAGCGCCTGCTTTGGACTGTTGGGGACTCCGGGCACTCGCCTTCGTCCTGTCGCCGCTGCTTTTCTTCGATCCGTGTGTCCTTCTGCCTCTCTGTGTGGCTCTGATCCCTCGGGGAATGCCTTCACCCTTTCTTTCTCCTCTTCTCCGCCCCCTCCCCCAGCCTCCCCCTAATCCAAACACCGTCCTCCCTTCCCCCCACCTCTGTCCTGACCTGTGCCTTCCTTTGCAGGATCTTCCCTCCCCCTCCGGGTCCCAGCTCCTTACCCGCGGGAGACCCCTGCGGGTTGGTCCTGCTGCGACCGTGGAAGGGGCCCGGCCTCGGGTCATGAGAACTGACCTGCCTGGAACCACCATTTTCCATCCCAGTCCCCAGCCCGGTGAGCCGGGCCCACCCATCCGGCCCTGGGGGACCGGCCACAGCTGCGGCTGGGCTGGGGCCAGGGACGTAGCCAAACCGGGAAATTCCCGTGGAGAAAGAGGGGCTGCCTCAAGATAGAGGATAGAGTGAGGATGGGGGCCTCACCGTGCCAGGGGGCGTTAAGCTACCAGAGCAGAGGCGAGATTGGGAGTCGAGGGAGAAAGAGAATGCCACCCCCCCACCCCCCACCCCCGGCGCAGGTTCACGCTGCAGGGAACCGGAGCACCCCCGCTGCAGAGGGGAGGGAGCAGGGACGGGAGCTCCCTGCAGGGGGTAGGGGACCCTGGCGTTGGCATCTCAGAGCACAGGAAGCTGAAGGGACTTTTAAGGGGAAGCCCATACCTACAGGAATGGACACTGTCTTGGGAACTTTCACTCCAGAAGTACTCTAAAGAATCCCTGCAGGGATTGGACGCAGTCAGGGAGAGCACCCGCTGCTCGGGGTAGGGATGGGGGTGAGATGGCTGAGGGGCTCTCACTGCAGAATGAAGGAGGTGGAGAGGCCCTGCCAGGGGGCGCTCAGTGCGGGGAGGAGTGGGGGAGGAGCACCGCTGGTGGGTCTGCTCCTCTACCCCCTGGCGGGGAAGCTGGAGCAAGAAGAAAGAGGAACTGGGCCAGGGAGAGCTGACTCAGTCTCTCTGGTCTCCTCCTTGGTCCTGGCCGCCTGGAGGCTGGGTCTCCGTTCCCGCCTGCGCCTCCCACCCCAGACCCCTCCTCCCCTCCTGCCGCTGCCGTTTCCTGTGGCTGAGACTCGTTCTGCCATGAGCTCACCGCCCCTAATGGGTTGCAGCTGCCTCGCAGTTAAAGCTCTAGCTCCCCCCTCCTGGCCTCTGAGCAGACGGCCCACTGTGCCTCACCCCCTCCCATCTCCACCTCCCCCAGCCCACGCTCACAGTACTGGCCGGGTCTGGAACACTGAGGGGTCTGTCTGCTCGCCCACACACCTTGGGGCTGGGTCTCCGCGTTGACGCAAGGAAAGCCAGTCTCCGGAGTGGCTGGCCTGGCTTCTCGGACCTTGGGGGCTAGCCGGCAACTCTGGCTCTTGAGCCTCAAAGTAAAACATAGTTTTTTATCTTCAGAGCAAAGGCAGGGTTGGGGGTGGGGGTGGGAGTTGGGGAAGCTAGATAGAGAACTAGACAAGCAAGGCGGTGAGCATCCCCTTGCCTCCCTGCCCCTGTCCAGTGAGGAAATCTGATAAAGGGAACATCAAAGCCATCTTGAAAGGAAATAACTTTGCAAAGGGATAGCCTGAGGGGGGTTGTTTAGGGTTTGGGATGGAGAAAGATAGTCGCATTTATGGGGAAGTGAGTCTGGAGAAAGCTGGGATGAGTCCTTTGAAACTGGCTGCTGGTCTAGATTGGCAGAGAATCAGCGAGTAAATATTTATGATCAAGGTCTCCTCTCTTCCCTACAAGTTTCTTTTGTAACTTTTCCTGCTGCCATCACCCAGTTCTTTGTAATCCAATGTCACATACTTTTAAAATGGGTGATGCTCTACAGCCACTCTGGGAGAGGGAGCATGGTGCTAGAAAAACTCAAGACAGACAGGGCTTTCGTCCTCTTTCCTGCTTAATGAGCCTCTCTAGCATATGGCTCATGGGTGGGATGGTGGGCCCTATGAGGAGGAATTTGCTCATGGGTGGGATGGTGGGCCCTATGAGGAGGAATTTGCAACATAGGTATGTGAAAGCCCCCCACCCTCCAGAGTCATCTGTAAACCCCTGATGACCCAGGAGTCTGTCTCTTCTCTCCCATGGAGTCTCGGCAACCTCAATTCTCGAGAAGCAGGGATAGCCCCGAGCAGAGGCATTCTCCATGTGCATCTCCAAAGCCGTGGTCTCAGAGCTTATGGGGTGCTGACTGGAGGCCTTCCCAGGCCTTGGAGAAGTCACGCTTAGGGTCTACAGTTTGATCTTGTCTCTCTCCCAGGAGCCTGAGCCAGTGGAGGACTGTGTGCAGAGCACACTCGCCGCCCTGTACCCGCCCTTCGAGGCAACAGCCCCCACACTTTTGGGCCAGGTGTTCCAGGTGGTAGAGAGGACATACCGCGAGGATGCGTTGAGGTATACGCTGGACTTCCTGGTGCCTGCCAAGCACTTGCTTGCCAAGGTCCAGCAGGAAGCCTGTGTGAGTAGCCGTGATCTGTTTTATGTCTCCTATCATCCACTCCAGAAACTGGCCAGACCAATTTCCCTCCAGCCAGAGACCTTCCTGCCTCCCCTGACACCAGTCCCCACAGAGCCACTGACCACTCAGATACTAACACACACTCGTCTTCCCAAGTACTGACCCTAAGGAACATCACCTCCCAAAGACACTGCCACTGTCCCTCCAAATCCATCTCCAGACATTCCCTCTCTCACATCAATTTCTCCAGATACTAACTTCCCTTGATATGATTCAACAGAAAACCCTCACTTTTACGCTACAAAGACCTCCTAAGAGTCTCTGACTCCTCAAAGACAATGGCGTCTGCTGACCATGCCTTCGTATTGACTCAGTTCTTAGCCTCCCACACATGGAACCAGCTTCCTAGAGAAGCTTCCTAAAACCGGAAAACTGAATAGCCCCAACCCCTTTCTCTGCCACAGGAACACTCCAAGGTAGCGCTTCCCGCTCCCCTGGGACTATAACCCATCAGGCGGAAGGCCAGTCCTGTCCAGGGTGGTCTCACTGTCCCCTCTGGCGGTTTCATCAGCAGAGGCCTGAGAGCAGCCTCCCACCTCTCTCCCCAGGCCCAGTACAGCGGTTTCCTCTTCTTCCACGAAGGCTGGCCCCTCTGCCTGCATGAGCAGGTGGTGGTGCAGTTGGCAGCTCTACCCTGGCAGCTGCTGCGTCCGGGAGACTTCTACCTGCAAGTAGTGCCCTCAGCAGCCCAAGCACCCCGCCTGGCACTCAAGTGCCTGGCCCCAGGGGGTGGGCGGGTGCAGGAGCTGCCTGTGCCCAATGAAGCCTGTGCCTACCTGTTCACACCTGAGTGGCTACAAGGTATCAATAAGGACCGGCCAACAGGTCGCCTCAGTACCTGTCTACTGTCTGCACCTTCTGGGATTCAGAGGCTGCCCTGGGCCGAGCTCATCTGCCCCCGATTTGTGCATAAAGGGGGCCTCATGGTTGGACATCGGCCAAGCACTCTGCCCCCCGAACTACCCTCTGGACCCCCAGGGCTCCCCAGCCCTCCACTCCCTGAAGAAGCCCTAGGTACCCGGAGTCCCGGGGATGGACACAATGCCCCTGCTGAAGGACCCGAGGGCGAGTATGTGGAGCTGCTGGAGGTGACGCTGCCCGTCAGAGGGAGCCCTGTAGATGCTGAGAGCTCCTCGGGGCTCTCCCGGACCCGGACAGTACCCACCCGCAAGGGTGCTGGGGGGAAGGGCCGGCACCGGAGACACAGGGCATGGATGCACCAGAAGGGCCTGGGTCCTCGAGACCAGGATGGGGCACGCCCACCTGGTGAGGGGAGCAGCACTGTCACCTCCCCAGCGGCCGCCCCTGGAGCTGAGGCTTTCCCCGAGGCAGCAACCCTGGAGGTAGCTGAGCCCCCAGCAGAGGCACTGGGGGAAGCGTCTGAATCTTGCCCCCTGAGACCAGGGGAGGTTGGGGGAGGAGCAGGCCAGGGGCCCGAAGGTCTGCCTGGCACCCCTCGGAAAACAAGCAAAGGAAACAGGAGAAAGAAACGAGCTGCAGGCAGAGGGCCTCTTAGCCGAGGAGGGGACAGTGCCCCACTGAGCCCCGGGGACAAGGAAGAGATCAGCCACCAGGAAGCTCTTGTCAGTGTGCCTCCGCTAAGTGAGCATGAACTTCCAGGATGCAGCCTGATCAAGGGGGAACATGAAGACTCGGGGAAACCAGAGTCTGAGCCAAAAGAGGAGCCCAAACCAGCAGATGAAAAAGAACCTAGGCCCCCAGAGCCTTGTGGGCCTGTCGAAGAGCGAGGCGAGACTGAGCAAGAGGGGCCGAGCCCAGTGTGCATGGCAGGTGAGGTCTCAAGGAGGCTGATCACCAGGGGCCAGGGTAGCAGAGCCTGGAACGGGTTAAAGGAGAAGGGGTGAGGCTGGCAGCGAACAGCCAGACCCGTCCTCCCCCAGATCCACAGCTCTGCCTGTGTCTGCAGGACCCACAGGTCCCGAAGGGCTCCTGTCTGATCCTGCGACACCTCCCCTGGAGACTGTCCAGGAACTGAAAGGGGACAGTGTCCCAGAAGAGGCCCCTCCTGCCTCCATCTCTGATGACCCAGATGTAGCTTGGGACTTGATGGCATCTGGATTCCTCGTCCTGACTGGTCAGTGGGCATCCTTGGGGAAGGGAAAGAGGAGGGAGAAGCAGTAGGGAGTAGGCTGGGAGGAGGAAGGGTGGGCTGGAGGTAGCCATGGCTGGCCAGCAGCCAGGACAGCCTGGTCGTTTTGTGTCCTCAGGAGGGGTGGACCAGAGTGGGCGAGCTCTGCTGACCATTACCCCACCGTGCCCTCCTGAGGAACCCCCACCCTCCCGAAACGTGCTGAGCACCGCTCTTCATTACCTCCACTCATTGCTCAGGTAACCGAGGCCCAGCTGGCTCCCCAGACATTAACCTTTAGGGTGACGAGGACCCCGACCCCTGGGACACCTATTACTTCAACCCAGAGTTCCAAGTCATCGACCTTTACTGAGCCCTGACTTCCAGGATATCTTCTTTGAGCCTCAAAATTAATACTGCGGACATTCTGTATCCTAAGACACGACTAGATATTTAGAACACTGATTCACTCTTCCTCCACTGTCAAGCCCCAGGAGCCTATGAGGCGCGATGCTATGTGCTAACATTGAGTTGACGCCCTTCTAAAGCATAGAATTCCTGACTGCAGACCCAGGAGCCATGTGACTCTGGTTCCTGAATGCTGGGCCATTGCCTTTTGCACATACATCTAACTCTGGCCCTCTGCCTGTGGTCTCTCCAATGTGCCAGGAACTAACTTCTCCTGAGGACGATTAACACTAAAGCCAGACCCTATATTGCCGTCCCTCCGCCACCCACAAACACACACACACGCTCACTCTCCTCCTTGGTTCTTTCCTGCCCCCACAGGCCTGATCTACAGATGTTGGGGCTGTCTGTCCTGCTGGACCTTCGCAAGGCACCCCCACTGCCCCCGTCTCTCATCCCTGTCCTGAGTCAGCTTCAGGTAACCAGCCTCCTGCGCAAGTTCTGCTGCTGCTAAGGCTTCTTTGGTGGCCATCCCAGGCCAACCAATTGCCTGCAGCTTAGAATTATTCCTCTCTGCCTGCAGGACTTGGGAAACCCCCATGTTGTTCAGCGGCTCCTGCTTCTCACTCATGATGAACCTCCAGCTGAACTCCATGAATTTCAGGTTTGAGCCCGTCACGGGCACCTAATCACCCTTAGTAGTAGAGAAGAGCCCCAGGCCAGCTCCTGAATCACTGGGTGCCCAGGCCAGAAATCCCCTACCTTTACACATCCACAGGCTGCTGAGTTACTGTCAGAGAACGACCTGAAAAGGGTGGTCAGGCCCGAGGAGCTGCAGTGGGACTTGGGAGGTCACAGACACCCCTCTCCCAGCTACTGGGTAGAGACACACCAGGTAAGCTTCTGCTCCCTACTCAGGACAGAGGGAATCAGGAACGACCCAACCGATGACATTCTAGGGGAGAGAGTAGACCAGAGTCATGAGATGGGGATGGGAAAGAATAGTTTCCCCTCATTCAACTCAGCAAGTAATTACTGCTCACAAACCATGAGCAAAATTTTGTTTTGTGCATGAACCATGGCTCCTGAAGAGATGGGAGGAGCACGTTAAGTAAACTTACTATGAGATTAAGCAGCATGTGACTTTTGGTGGCGCTAAGTCAGAAGCAACTGCGAGAGTATGAGGTAATGTCACTGGGGTTCTGTAAAGAGCTGAGAGCCAGGAAGACTAGTTCCAGTTCTGTGTAACCTGGAACAAGGGACTCTTCTGGAGATGGTGCCTCTCTCCACCTGCTCCCTGCACCAACCTCCCAGCCTCAGGAGCCTCACCTGCAGAGGATAGCAATTACGATGCAACTCTGATTCTGTGAATCTAAATGTTGTGAGTATTCAAGAAGAGAGGTGTGAACGTGATTGGAATCCCATTAAAGGGGATCTGTAACCCCGTCTCTGAGCTCTATTGGGAAGTGGCTCTGCACAGGCAGAGAGGAAGGCTTTACGGGGTGAAGACCCAGTGTATGTTTACCACGGAGACACACTAAGCTGTACAGCAAGTCAGACCCATGCAACCTTGGTATCCTCTCCTCAAATCCCACATCGTCCTGTCTTTTCCTGACTGGACAGCTGAAACATTTGAGGTTCAGGGAGGTTTCTGGATCTGCCTAAGGTCATCTATTCAGCAAGCCACAAATCAGGAACTAAGCCCAGCCCTGCCCCACAGAAGTCTCTGGGACTTCCCCTATTCCATGCTAGGCCTTGGGTTTCTTCTCCCAAACCCTGTCCTGGACTCCGTGCCTGTGTGTGTGCCGCAGGAGGTGGCCAGGCTGTGCCGGCTGTGCCAGGGAGTGCTGGGCTCGGTGCGCCAAGCCATCGAGGAGCTGCAGGAGGCCACAGAGCCAGAGGAAGAGGTAGAAAATGAGATGGGATGACGGGCGCGGAGTGGGTAGGGCAGGGCTGGACCAAGGGCTCTTGACGATACCCCACCTGCCCATTGTTCCCTGCCCCCAGGAGGCAGTAGGCATGCCTGAACCCCTACAGAAGGTGCTGGCAGATCCCCGGCTGACAGAGCTGCAGAGGGATGGGGGCGCCATCCTGATGAGGCTGCGCTCCACCCACAGCAGCAAGTATGAGGGTGGGGGCCCAGAACAGGTGGGCATGGGGGAGAAGGACATGTCGAGGGTCGCCAGTAATAAACCTTAGTGTCTGGTAGTCTTTGCTGAGCATGTCTCTAAGCAAGACAGGTGTTTTTCTACTGATGATCTCATAACCCTCCCAATTCCTCACAGTGATCCCGGGTGCTAATTACAGTTGCCCATGTGGATTTGAGGGAGCACATATTAAATGTCTTGGCCATGTTCAGTCAGTAAGTGGGAAAGTCAGCTTTTAGATTTGGGTCCATGGTCTGCCCTGCAGTGCTGTCGCTCCACCTTGTGTTGGCCTGCAAAGGTGGAATGGGGTGGGGCTGGGGCTGGACAGGGTAATGGTCCACTCTGCCCTATCTCCCAGGCTGGAGGGCCCAGGCCCAGCAACGTTGTATCAGGAGGTGGACGAAGCCATCCACCAGCTGGTGCGACTCTCCAACCTGCATGTCCAGCAGCAGGAGCAGCGGCAACGTCAGCGCCAACTCCAGCAGGTGAGCCAGGACCCCGTGTGTACCCCTCTGACCCAGCCTGGGAACTGCCGCCAGCGCCCCCTTTTCTGCAGATAACCTACAGTTGGTGCACCCACCTGGCTTCGTTCAGGGGTCCTCCCTCTTTAGCTTGAGACTCAACAAGAGGGAGAGAGCACTGACCGTCCGCAAAGGAGAGAATCCGGATTTCACCACTCCCCTGTTTGTACTTGACCAGGGGCCCTGAGTGACCAAGAGACGCTCACTTGCCTGTTAGGGAAGAGCTGATTGATAATGAAGTGCTTCCCTGCTTAGAGCAAAAATAGTGTCTATTAATATCATGTCTTTGGCTCCGCTTCCATCCTTGCTCGCTCAGTGCCTTACTCAGTATTTATCCCACCTTGACCTGAAACTAGAAAGACCCCACCACTCTCCACCTTAGAAGGAGGGACAATGGAAGCTAAGTGCCGTGGGAACCAATGCCTCTTTGTGGGGAAGCTGTGGGGATCAGGCTGGCTTCTCTGAACCTCAAGTCTTCTCTGTTAAGCCGAAGAACCCATGGAGATGTGCTCTCAGCCCTACCACGTAGGGTGGAGGGGACACTGAAATCCAATTGTTCCTTCTGATGAACACCATCAGGGAAGAGTCACCTGAGGAAAATGTCAAAAGCAAGAAGGTGGGGGCATGCGACCTCCATTTCCTCGGATTTCCGCATACTGGCTTCCTCTAGCCCAGTGGCCAAAACAGTGTATCTGCTATTGTTTGCTCCTTGCTCATTATCAGTGGCTATACCCCTCTGTTGTAAAAGCACTTGCACATGGGATTTGGAACCCGAAGTGTTCAGCTTGGGCTCTAGCTCTCTAGATGTGAGGTGGCAGACAAGCCTGGAAGCATCCCTGCGTTCCCCAGTCCTCATTTGTAGAGTGGGGAGGACAATAACATTTCTATCACAAGGGGTTAAGGATGATCGGAGAGCCCGAGAACCGTTTTATCTTTGGTGGTGGCTAAGAAAATCCTCAGGCTTCTTGTCCTCACCCTCTCTCCAATGTCTAGCCTCTTTCTAGAGAAAAAAATTACCATCCCTTTATGGTCAGGTATTCTAGGACCAATTTGAGAGCCCCCCAGAACCCCATAGTAGGCAACTAGAGCAGGACACACACACTCACACCTACCTCTGGGCTTTCTCTTCAAGTCTGCTTCACAGGAGTCCTGCCCACCCGTTTTCAGCTTCATGAATGTGAAACTCCCCCAGGTCTCTGATATCTCCTCATCCTACTTCCAGTTTACATTAGTTCACCCTGAGCCCTTGACCCTAACTAACTACCTCCGTGCTTTCTGCCAATCCAGCATCCCCTTTATCTGGTGCTTTTCTTTTCTAAAGATTTTATTTATGTATGTATATAAGAGCTGGGGTGTAGGCCAGAGGTGTGCAGGGTGAGAGGATTCATCGAGACAGCAGGAAGCAGAACGGGCAGACTGATGAAGTACACTGCTGAGGGGAGCAGCAGGCAGGTCAGGAGAGGTCTCCTGTGCCATGTGGGTCGGCTCCTTAACCAGGGATGGAGCTTGTGCTGTAGTGGCTGCGGTAGCTTCACAGTGCTGGGATTTAACCTCTTGAGCCACCAGGGAGGCCCCTATCTGGTGCTTTTCCCACTTTCCCACTTGACCCCGTGTTCACTCTCATCATTGCCACTATACCGATGAGATGGGATGGTCTGTCCAAGGTTCATGGTGGGTGGGTTGGGGATGGATCTCCACTTTCCTTTTCTTTTCCATGGCAAGGCCCTCTTCTCCCTCACAGTCTGCTCTCCCGCCCACCTGCCCAGGTGCTGCAGTGGCTCTCGGGCCCAGGGGAAGAGCAGTTGGTGAGCTTTGCAGCGCTTGGGGACTCTCTCTCCGCCCTGCAGGAGACAGAGCTGAGATTCCGGGCTTTCAGTGCTGAGGTCCAGGTGAGATGGAAGAGAGAGCCTGGGCAGGGGGCGGGAGGGGGTGAGGAGAATAGGACTGAGGGCCAGGTCTGAGGGCAGTCTCCATTCTCCAGGAGCGCCTGGCCCAGGCACAGGAGGCCCTGGCCCTGGAGGAGGACACAGCTTCCCAGAAGGCTCTGGATGTCTTTGAACAGCGGCTGGAGCAGGCTGAGAGTGGTCTCCATCGGGCCCTGCGGCTCCAGCGCTTCTTCCAGCAGGTGCGTGCAGAGCCTCAGCCTTCTAGGCCCACTGTGGCCTTTCTTCTGCCGCGAGAGGCTCATCAGGTAGCTGTTAGAAGCAGGGACTCAGGGAGCCATCTCCTTGGCCTTGACTGTCGGCCCTGCCACCTACTCGCTGAATGACCTGGGGCATGGCACTAAGCCTGAACATGGCTCCATCAGCACCGACCTGGTCGGGCTGCAGTGAGGATATAGGCAGCGCTTAGTCCAGGACCCGTCACTTGTGTGCTCTGTGTTCTGTGTTACATACAGTGCAGAGTGTCAGCTGGTCGTTCAGCCGGGCTGCTGTCTGCATACCAGCTCGGCGACATGGTCAGGCAGTGGCGCTGGGAGGGTGAGGGGGCAGGTGTGCTAGACAGGGAGGGCGATGCCATTGGGAAGTCATGGCTGGAAGAGGACAGGAGACATCAGGCAGTGCGTAACTCCTTCCTCTCTCTATTCCCAAACCCTTTGGCCTTGTAGGCACATGACTGGGTAGATGAAGGTTCTGCCCGGCTAGCAGGAGCCGGGCCGGGTCGAGAGGCGGTACTAGCAGCCCTGGCACTGCGGAGGGCCCCAGAGCCCAGCGCTGGTACCTTCCAAGAGATGCGGGCCCTGGCCCTAGACCTGGGCAGCCCAGCAGCCCTGCGAGAATGGGGCCGCTGCCGGGCCCGCTGCCAAGAGCTGGAGAGGAAGATTCAGCAACAGCTGGGAGAGGAGGCGAGTCCAAGAGGCCACCGGCGACGACGGGCAGACAGCGCCAGCAGCGGAGGAGCCCAGCGGGGTCCACACAGCCCCTCACCCAGTCTCAGCTCCTTGCTGCTCCCCAGCAGCCCTGGGCCAAGGGCAGCCCCATCCCACTGTTCCCTGGCTCCCTGTGGGGAGCACTATGAGGAGGAGGGCCCCCAGCTGGCCCCGGAAGCAGAGGGCAGGCCCCCCAGGACGGTGCTGATCCGAGGCCTGGAGGTCACCAGTACGGAGGTGGTAGACAGAACATGCTCACCCCGGGAACACGTGCTGCTGGGCCGAGCTGGGGGGCCAGAGGGGCCCTGGGGAGTAGGCACTCCCCGAATGGAGCGCAAGCGAAGCATCAGGTGAGAGCCCAACCCAACTGGTGCCCAAGGGGCAGGCCCTCCTGCCCAGCAGGAAGTATGACATTGCTGGGGTGGTGATTCCCGCCTGTACCCCGACCTCCTCTGACCCCCTTGTGGCGCCTGCAGCGCTCAGCAGCGGCTGGTGTCCGAGCTGATCGCCTGTGAGCAGGAGTACGTGGCTGCCTTGAGTGAGCCAGTGCCGCCCCCTGGGCCTGAGCTGACCCCTGAACTCCGGGGCTCCTGGGCCGCCGCCCTGAGTGCCCGCGAGAGGCTTCGCAGCTTCCATCGGACACACTTTCTGCGGGAGCTGCAGGGCTGCGCTGCCCACCCCCTGCGCATTGGGGCCTGCTTCCTCCGCCACGTGAGTGAGCCTCTAGGTCCTCTCCCTTCTCCTATTTCAGCCCTCTCCACTTGTCTTCCTCTCATCATCCACCTCTCCACCTCACCCTGCCCCCAGCTCCTCCCTCAAATAGGTGATGCAAAGCCCAGTGCTACTCATACCTGGTCCCCTCTGACTTTCTTTCTGACTCTTTCCACTGGCCTCCACGCTACCTGACCTTTGCTGTCTCTCCATGGGAGTCGCCACCCCTTAGGCAGGCTGGGGGCTCCCTGTGGCCTCTCCCTCCTTGGGCTGCAGTAAAAACGGGGAGCAGGAAAGGGACGGCTTGGCTGTGGGACTTCACTAAGGATGTCTTGCCCCTTCCCTACTGGCACAGGGGGACCAGTTCAGCCTTTATGCCCAGTACATGAAGCACCGGCACAAACTGGAGAATGGCCTGGCTGCACTTGGCCCCCTAACCAAGGTAACTCCTCTTCTCTGACCCTCATGAGAAAGGGTGGGGCCAGGGAAGACCTAAAACCCACCCCGCCTCAAAATCACTCAGGGGCCAGTTTCCCCGGGCAGACCCAGCGACCTCGCCTACCACTGACCTCCCCAGAATTGCCAAGGGTGGGATGAGGACTGGACGTGACCCTGGGGTCTCATTCAGGTCATCTGAGGGACCTTGGGTGAGACTGATTCCTCCAGGCCTCTGCCTCTCTGGTCAGGGTGGGAAACCTTCACTATATCTAACACACAGAGTGTGCTGAGGATCAAAAGATGTGATTTCAAAAATTAACAGGATATGAGGAGTTATTTGTCTTCCTCTTCCATTCCCCGTCAGTATACAGAGATGACTTTCGGGGGGAGAGTTTTTTCCTTACCTTTGGATATATCTGGGCTTTATTGACCACCAAGGTTCTGGAGTATCACCCACCTTCCCTGCAAAGCTCAACACCCTACTCCAACCCCAACTCCTGCCCCTCATCCCTGTCTCCTCCCCCAGGGTGCCACAGAGGGTAGCCCTCACTTACCCCAGGCTCTCCAGCAACCGCTGGAGCAGCTGGCTCGCTATGGACAGCTCCTGGAGGAACTCCTAAGGGAAGCTGGACCCGAGCTGAGTTCTGAGCGCCAGGCCCTTGGCGCGGCTGTGCAGCTGCTCCGGGAACAAGAGACACGCGGCAGAGACCTGCTGGCTGTGGAGGCAGTGCGTGGCTGTGAGGTAAGGCCATAACTTCAACAACTCCAGCTCAAACTGCCTAGCCCTGTGGCCTCAAAAGCAGTATGGGTTGGCCGATGAGAGAACTAGACTCAAGCTCTCATTTCTAACCAGCAGGATGGCGTTGGTCAAGTCACTGGACTTCACTGGGTATCAACTTTCTAGTCGATAGACGATGTTTTGCCCAAGATCCATGAATGCATACATGCGTCGGAGAACTGGGGTGTAGGCCCAAGGTGCAGGGGCTGAGAGGATTCACCAGAGACAGATTGGGGACCAAAACACTGCTGAGGGGAGCAGTGGGTGAGCCAGAAGTGATCTGCTGTGCCATGTGGGTCACTCCCTGGCTAATCAAACTTGTGCTGCAGTGGCTGCGTGGCTTCATAGTGCTGAGACTTAACCTTTTGAGCCGCCAGGGCTCCCCCTATCTGGTGTTTTTCAAGACCTCTCTTGCTCACTTTCCCACTTGACCCTATGGGATTGCCATCAGCTCCCTGGCTGGGGATCGAACTCAGGCTACAGTGGCTATAGCTTGATAGCACTGAGACTTAACCCCCATACCACCCAGGAGGCCCTTTCCCACTTATCTGTCCCTATCTAACCTGTACTTCTTCCTGCATCTTAACACCCAACGCATATCTTCTCCTTTGCCTAGTCTCTTTCAAAACAGGTAGGAAACCTATCTCTTCTGAGATAGACCTCCTTCATCTTCAGTGTTGCGGATGCTTTCCCTTTGCTCCCAATATGCAGTCCCAATATGCTCCCATGGGAGGTCTTAAACCCTACTGGGTGGGGCTGTGCTTGCCAGGAAACCAGAGGATGGATTCTAGGGGCAGAGTGTCCCTAATTTCTTGACTGTGTCTGTGAGCCAGTGGATTAGGTCCCTCGTCCTTTAAATTCAATTTTTATTCCCCATAACATATACACAGAACTCCAAGGTCAACGACCTTTCCTTTTCCTTTCCCAGACAGATCTGAAGGAACAAGGACAGCTCCTGCATCGGGACCCCTTCACCGTCATCTGTGGCCGAAAGAAGTGCCTTCGACATGTCTTCCTCTTTGAACATCTCCTCCTGTTTAGCAAGCTCAAGGGCCCTGAGGGAGGTTCAGAGACCTTTGTTTACAAGCAGGCCTTTAAGGTACAGCACCAGTAGTGGGGGTGGGGCCAAATAGCAAGTCTTGCTCTCTCTGAGAACGCAGGATGTTCTAAAGGGCAGCTCCCTCCAGCCCCCAGTTCAGAATATGCCTCGCAGAGAAGAGTCTGTGGCTTGTAATCAATCATCAGTTAGGATGTCGGGATGACATAAGTCCCTGGTGTAACAGCTGGGACTTTTCTTATTGTTTACTCAGAAGACTCATGAGGCATTCCTGGCTGAAATGGGGGGGACAACCTTTTCCATTAAGGACACATGCCTTTTGAGCTAACAGGAGTGCTGAGGAGAAGGGGCATAGCAGATATGTAGCTTACTTAACTTGACTGAACAAGGAGAAAGGGGCCTTGTTTTAGGGAATCAGCAGTGGGAGCCACATGAACATCACAGTGACTTGTGGTCCTAGATCATAACCTGATTCTAAAGGTTTCTCGATTTTTTCACCTACAGTAGTTCCAGCTCTTTAAGGAAGAGGCCAGTTTAAAAAAAAAAAAAAAAAAAGCCTAGGTTTAGAGTAACACAGATGTGAGTTTGAACCCCCTTTCTCTAAGGCTCAGAGAAGCTTTTGGGCAAGTTGCTGCACATCTCTGGGCATCCCCTTTCTGTAAATTATGGGTGTTAGGAAGACTAAATGTAGAGTACTTGGCACACGCGAAGTGCTGAGCAAACATTTACTGAACATCTACCAGATGCCAGGCTAAGTGTAAGCTATTCCATGTGGCACCATCTTGCCAGGACTCTCTCCGACTCACCCACTCTCCTCGCTCTTTTGCAGACTGCTGACATGGGGCTAACCGAAAACATTGGAGACAGTGGGCTCTGCTTTGAGTTGTGGTTCCGGCGGCGACGTGCACGCGAGGCATACACCCTGCAGGCGGCCTCCCCGGAGGTCAAACTCAAGTGGACAAGTTCCATTGCCCAGCTGCTGTGGAGACAGGCAGCCCACAACAAGGGTACCAGGCAGAACCGGGCCAGTGTGGGTTTGGGCAGGGCTATGGTGGGAGGTCAGCTGGAGATTATGGAGACTTACGGAATTGGGACGAAGAAAACAGAATAGCTTCGGAGAAGACTTGAAGACCTGACTTGAGAGGGATTGCTGAGATAGAAATTAGCGTAGACAAAGCTAGCAAATGTCAGCACTATAGGAGCAAAGGGCTGCAGGGAGGAGGGTGAGGGAGACGCTGCACTGAATGTGGGTGCAGGCACTTACCCACTGTGTGAAATGGACTAATTTGTTTGGGGGGAGGGGTTGCTATTTTTTTGTTTTAATTCTTTAAACCTCACTCCATTCGCTTGAAAAAAGGGAAGTAGTATCTCCATCTTGGTGTGGTAAGATTCAATAAGGTGCTATATATGGAAGTACATGACAGGCTACTATAGATACATAAAAAATGTGACTTTTGCCCCTGATGCCTAAGATTAAGGGAAGAAGGTGGGGATCAGGAGAAACTGAACGGCTGGCTGCCAAACAGGAGGATGTAACATGGAGAGAAGAGACGGATGCCCAAGGAGGAGGTTAAGCCTTCCCACCCCATCCATGTCTGACAGTCAGCAGGATTACAAGAGAGGCCAGAGGAAGGCACATCATGAATGAGCAAAAGGAAGAGTTCACCATGGTATTGCCAGGGCTGGAGCAGAGGCGGCAAAAGGAGGCTGTAACAGGGTCTCTGTTCCCTAGAGCTCCGGGTGCAGCAGATGGTGTCCATGGGCATTGGAAATAAACCCTTCCTGGACATCAAAGCTCTCGGAGAGCGGACGCTGAGTGCCCTGCTCACCGGAAGAGGTGAGGGCCAGAGTGCTGGGGGTGATCCCCATAAGTTAAGACCTTGAGAGTAAGGGCACGATGGGGAGGCATGGTGGAAAGCGAGGAAGGGAGATGAATGGATCTCATAATAGAAACTCTGGGACTGGGATGCCCTCTATGAGACTGGGGTCATTTCAGGGATCCCCAAGGGCTTTCCCACACCAGCACCCCACTCCCAACCCCCACTTTCTGCAGCCGCCCGCACCCGGGCCTCCGTGGCCGTGTCATCCTTTGAGCATGCCGGCCCCTCCCTCCCCGGTCTCTCGCCGGGAGCCTGCTCCCTGCCGGCCCGCGTCGAGGAGGAGGCCTGGGATCTGGACGTCAAGCAAATTTCCCTGGGTGAGGCACCTCTCAAGGGGTGGCTCCCAACAGCTGGGCCATCATGGTGATGTGCAGGCTGCTTGCTGCTCAGCAATTCCTTTTTCTAGCCAAGTGGCCCAGTTGCCATGACAACTATGTACAGCTTCCCCATCGCTAAAAGAGCCTTCCATCTGGTTGCTAGGGTAAATGCTTACAGCAGCCTGTTGCTAAGAAGCACTTCCTCTGTACCTCTCTCTCTAGCTCTCCTTGGGTTTCTATGGAAACTGCCTCAGCTTCCTGTTGTACCCTCCTGGTCCACCACAGCAATCCTTATAAGTTTCCTGTCGCTTCTTCCCTGGTTGCTCTAATGATGCTGCTGGCAATTTCCTGCCTCTTCATAGGGGGGTTCTATTGCAACTAGATTGCTATGGTGACTCACAGCTTCCTGTTGCTATGGAGCTTTTTTCTTCCTTGATGGAGCCGCTTGGTTGCTTAAGGTAATCTAGAGGATGTCTGTATCCTGCTCTCATCCCAGCTTCCCCTCCAGCCCCAGAAACACTTGACTCTTCTGGAGATGTGTCCCCAGGACCGAAACACAGCCCCAGCCTGCAAACCCCTCACCCTGGGAGCAGCACTCCCACTCTGGCCAGTGGAGGGATCTTAGGGCTATCCCGGCAGGTAAGTTCTTGCAACAGGTCTCAGAATGGGATGATCTCGGTCTGCTTTCTGGGTGGGCTCTTCTGATCAGTTGGCCCACAGCGGGCAAGGGGAACCAGTGGGACTGTTCTCCCAGTGAGGCTACAGGTTGGCTATCCTGTTGAGGCCTGGTTGAGAGGCATCAAAGTGAAAAAATAAACAGGACTTTTTAATTTGGAGCAGAGTTCAGGAGCGGATGGAGAGGGGAGAATCCTAGCAGTGTGGTTTGGACTCAAACTAAGTCAACAAAATTCAGGAACATGAGGGGGAAAGCAAGGCAATGAATATAGAAAAGAGACTATTTCGTATCCTTCAAATTCACTGCGCTTTCTCTCCCCTCAGAGTCATGTCCGAGCCCTGAGTGACCCCACCACACCTCTGTGAGCCTGGGTGAGTCAGTATTCCCCTCCAGCACACCTTCTCTCTGGCATGTGCCACCCTCTCCCCCCAGCAGCTTGTGAGTCAGGCTTTTCCCATCCCCGTCACCCTCTTCTCTCTTGGCTTCTAAAGAAGAGCCAGAACTTGGCTACAACCCCTCCTCTCAGGGCATTTTAGTCTGGGGTGACAGTAGGACTCAACAGAGGACTGGAAGAGCATTTAATTCCCTCCCTCAGCTTCCCGGGCAAAGAGGAAGTCAAAGGACCAGCGCTTTCCCGGCTGCTGCTCTCTCTAGTGCTCCCCGCCAGGTGCCTTCTCCTGCACGAACCAGAGCGGCCACTTGCTTGCCTTCTACCCTGGAGGTGGGGAACTTACCTACATCCAGTCCTCCAAGCTGGGCCTTGGCACACTCCCAAGACAAGGCTCCATGACAGCCCTCCCCCGACAGCCTGTGTTGCTCCTTCTCACCCGACTGCCAGGCCTTGTATAATTCCTAATGACTCCATTCTGCCGCGTCTCAGGAAACGGAACTATGCAAACCATTATAGCAGGGGGGGTACGCAGACTTTATCTATGTAATTACTGTTGTTATTATTATATTATTGTTATATTAAATGTATTTACTCACACCTTGTCTCCAGAGACAGAGCAGTCCCTGCAGGTAGAGATAATACTAATGAGCTCTTGCCTTCACCGTTCAACCATTAACTAAAACGATGTAAAGCCAAGGCTGCAAGGTTATCCTGGATCCCGTCCTGGCCCAAAGAGGGCCTGCATCTGGAAGAATCCCTCCACGGTGGCTCCCAGTACTCCCTTGGAAGCAGCTCCTCTCAAGCTGCGCCACACTTCTTGAGGCTGAGCTGGTCACAAACAAGCTGGCATCCAAAATAGTCCACCACTTCTCAAAATGATCACAATGCAAGAGATCTCCTTGGCTACTTGTTAAATGCTAATTCTTGGGCCCCAACCCAGAGCTACTGATTCTAAAGCCCGGAGGTAAAGCCCAAGACTCTGCATTTACTTATCAAGCACTTTAGGTGGTAACTAAGTCCCTGAAGAGGTGACTCTTTCCTGGGCAGAATGGTCCGAGGAAGAGGACAGGACATAGGCAGACAAACACAGTGCCCTGTGCCTCAAGACACCTGTTTATTGGGGACACAACTCTGCGACAGGGATGACAGGAATCGTACCAAAAATAGCGACGTCTACAGGGCCCCTGAAGGGGCTAGAAGGGTACAGTGCCCCCCACCCCCACCCATTGTACAAAAATAAACTCTCACGCCTATGGACCAGCAAAGACTGGCAGAGGGGCTCCTCAACAGGGACACAAACCTCTTTGCCAGCCCTGGGACCCAGTTCTTTGATCCTCACCCCTGCCACTTCTAAGGCACTGTGACTCTCCCCTGGGCTGGGTACTGCCCGCCCACTCGCCTACGCCCTCCGCCCCCACACCTCTGGTCCGCCTGGGGCTGGGATACGGGTCCCACGCTGCCCCCTGCTGGCTGCTCTACCCAACTACCTCTAGCGCTCCCCCGCTCCGGCGGGGTAAGCTCACTAAGCTAACCGCCCCTAAGAGGGCTCCCTACCGTTCTTGCCCCCCCAGCCCAGCCTCTCCCGATCTCGATAGCCCTGGGCCCTCCTCCCCTTCCTGCGGAGGACTGGAAGGGGACTCTCCAGACGGTGCCCGGGCATAGGGCGGGGATCCATCGGCCTGAGGGGGCCGGCGGCCCCGAGCCCGGCGGCTGTGGTGCACTTGCAGGTGCAAAGCCATGAGCTCGGGAGCTCCAGTGGCAAAGGGGCAAAAGAGGCATCGGTGGAGGGCCCCTCCTGGCCCGGCCTCGCCACCCGGCCCCGCCCGCAGGGACAGGTCCAGGGGTTCGGCCTCACCGCCTCGCCCATTGCGCAGGGTCCTCCCGGGGCTGGAGGGCTTCCGACGGCACCCCGGGGCGGCACTGCTCGCAGGAGGCCGAGGACTCGAAGTACCCTCCACCCAAGTCGCAGGCTGAGGAGCCGCCTTGGCCCCAGTCGACTGGGCAGAACCCCGCTGGGAAGGGGGTGGCGGCTCCGGGGGTGGCCCTGGCCCTGCCCCGCTCCTCTGCTCTCGGTGGTGGCGCTGCAGGTGATACTTGAGTGAGCCAGATTGGGTGCCCGCGTAGTCACAGTGTGGACACTTGTAGGGGCGCTCACCTGCAGAGGGAGAGCGATAGGATGCTGTTGCCACGACTACCGCACCTTCCCACCGCTTTGCACTCTCCCTACTTGCAGCTCTCTTCAGGACAAGGAGCCTTGCCTCCTTCATTCCCAACACTTAATGAAGAAGTGTTTGATCACAAGGCAGTCTAAAAGCTGGAAGTTGCCCCACAGCCCTCTCGCCTTTTTCGCTGCTTTCCAGTGTACCTCCCCCAGCCCATGGCTGCCCCCCTCACCTGTGTGCACTCGCAGGTGCACTTTGAGGTGATGCGCTGACCGGAAAGATTTTCCACAGAAGGGGCAATCCTTGCCAGTGGCACCCCGACCCCCTTCAGGCCGGGTCCCTCCAACCAACAGCCCATTCTCTTCTGTAATACACAGGTGAAAGCAAGTCAGAGGCAACCTCTGCAGTACCCCTGTCAGGGTCGGGCATCCCCCCACCACACGCACACCATACTGCTTCCCTTCCAAGCCCAGGGAGAAAGTGTGCTGGGGGAACCCGAGTGGTGGGATTTGTTGCGAACTGAGCTGGTGCCCAGAAAGTGGTGAAGGCTTTGAGAGGTAGGTGACGGGGTGACCGGTCCTTTTAAAATAGGGGAACAAGAAAAGAGTGGTGACATCGGAAAGGGCCCAAGACCTGGCAAACCACCGAGCGGCCCTTTACATACCCTGTGTGGCAGTGGGCCTTGGCTGGGCCCCCGCAGCAGGTGCAGAGTGCCCTGGCCCCTCCCCTGGGCGCGGATGCAGTGAAGCCAGCGGGCCCAGCGTCCTGCTCCGGGCCCAGGTCTCCTCCTCAGCCTCCACGACCTCTTCTTCCTCATCTGGCTCCTCCGCACGATGCCGGCGACCCCGGCCAGGGAGAGCAGACGGCAAGGGGCGGAAGCCTCCAAAGCTGCGGCTGGACCCAGATTCAGCGCCCTCACCGTTGGGCCGGGCCTCGCCTGCTCGCAGGCTCAAGTAGCCTAGGAGACTCGGAGGCTCACGGCGCTCTGCAGGAGTGGGCGCCGGGGCCAGGAGGAGTGCTGGGCCCAGTGGCTCATAGGCCAGCAGGCCCAGGTCTGGAGGCTGTGGGGCTCGGGTGGGCCCAGAACCGGGCCCCGGGGCACGCAGCGGCCCCAGCTTGCTGGCATGCACCTTCATGTGGTTCTTAAGGAACCAGGGCTCCTTGAAGCAGCGGCCACACACTGGACACGCATGATCGAAGGAGGCTTTGTGCTTGCGCATGTGGCCCTTGAGAAACCAGGACTGCGTAAAACTCTGACCACACACTTGACAGCGGAATTCCGGTGGCGCAGGGGGCTCCTCAGGGGCTGCAGGAGCTGGGGCGGGAGTTGCCTCGCTTTCGGGCTCTGGCTCAGGCTCGGGCACAGGGACCGATCTAGGTTCAGGCTGGGATGAAGGCTGGGGCTGGGGCTGGGCCTGGGGTGCAGCCGAAGTGGCCGCCAGGGGGCGCTCAGGAGCTCCGTGGGCGGTCAGGCTATGGTGCAGTAGCTCCTCCTCCTGGCTGGAACCGAAACTGCACAGGCCGCACTTCCAGGGCCTGTGCAGGATGTGCAGGTGGCGTTCACGCTCCGCCGCGGTGCGAAACTTCCCTTTGCAAAAGGGGCAACGGAAGGCGGACGACGAAGGACCCTGGGGACGCGCCAGCCCCTCAGTGGCTGGGGCAACTTGCACACCCCCTGAGCTCCGGGCTCGCCCCAGCCGAGCCTCGCGCAGAAGCGCGCGTTCCTCCAACTCCAGCAAAAGTCGCGCGGCGGGGCTACGCGGACGCTCAGGCTGGTGCGTGCGCAGGTGCGAGCGCAGCAGAGCACGCTGCGCTGCACGGTGCCCGCAGTGCGGGCACTGGAAGGCCTGGGCCCCTGGGTGCGCCCGCAGGTGCAAAGCCAGTATGGAGTTGAAGCGGAAGCGCTTCCCGCATACGGGGCAGGGGAAGCGCCGTTCGCCTGCACGACTCTCAGACCAGCCTACTGCTCCCATTCCTGGAGACCCGGCGCTCACGCCTGGCCCGTTGGAGTAGCGCTGCAGATCCAGTTCGCCTTCGAAAGCCGGTGGCGATGGCGCAAAGTGGCCGCCCGGGGCGCGGGGACGTGAGCCCTGTGGAGAAAAATGTGGGTAGACCACGGGGTGGAGACAGGAGAGCTGCAGGGTAAGCAAGGGTTCAGAGAGCCAGAAGAACCCACCCCAGGGAGGGTGGGTTGGGGGGCCTAATCTGGTACACAAGGCTGCCCTTCCCACTCCCCTCGAGGAAGTTGGGCAATGAATGGGCACTGAGATGTTGAGGCTATGGGGATAACTTTTAATAATGGGGAGGCAGGAGGGCTAAAGGGGCTGGGGTAGGCGAGAGACTAGCTACAGGTACTTTCAGGTTCCGGTCCCCAGCTTCACTCACCTCCATGGACCCCCTTCACATTCTTTGGTTCTGGGGAGTGCAGAGAAGAGGAGGAGGAAAAGCTGCTAGTGAAGGCAACAGGTGCTGAAGAGCTAAAGCAAGAGAGACAGATTTGGAGGAAAAGATCAACCCCAACTTTCAACAGTGGAGTAGTCACCCCCAACCTCAGATTCTCAGCTTCCTGTATTCCTGACAGTATCCCTTCTCTCTCCTTGCAGCATAAGGCAAGAGGAGCTGCTGTCTTCAAAACATGTATTCCTTCCTTTCTTTGCCAAGCTCACAGGCTTCCTGATGACCCGTTTTCTTCACCCCAGTTATGTTTTAAACGCCTGGCCAAGAACCACCACAAGCATCACCCCCTGGTGATGGGGAAGACTATCCCAGTATACCCCTCTCATTTAGGTTGGCTGGTGCAGCGTGAAGAGCAAATGGGGTAGAATCGGTGCTCCCCAGTTACTCAGGTTGGTCTCAGACCCCTAACTGACCAGCTAGCCAAACATCCTTCCAGGCTTCTTTCCTCTGTCCTTACCCAGTCTTTCTGTCTTTCCCCCTCATTCTCCCTCCCTCCGCCTGGATTCCTGATCCATTCATTTCCATTCATTACAGAGACTCATTCATGCATGGGAGAGAAACACCTCCCAGCAGCAGAGAGTCTGGAGACAGACAGAGGGGGAGGGGCATGAAGGGGAGAGAGAGCCACAGAGAGAGGGGGGGAATGGAGAGTTGGGGGAGGAGTGAAAGTTAAGGGGCACTGCTGGCCTGGAGAAGGGGTTAAAAACTGCAAATACCAGCTAGGATTCATCCCCATGTTTCAAACCTTAGAGCCTGCAGTTTGATGGGGCATCTCTGCCCCTTTGTCCAGGGCTGTTCCGAAGCAGGCTTTCCTCCTCTCTGCAGGGGAGAGGCTCCCTCACACAAGAGGAGGATTACACTGGCTCTGAGCTCAAGAGGCTGGAGCGAGGGCCGGGGGGCGGGGCTGGGCCATCTGCACAGATAGGGGCTCGGCACATGCTCTGAGTGAGAAAGGGTTAAAATTCTCCAGGCTAAAATTCCCTGAGCCTGGGATGTGCAGAGCTCCAGTTCTGAGGAAAGAGAAGGGGGGGGGGGGGGCTGGGGTGGAGTGGAGGGTTGATATAGAGAACTGGCCAGATTGGAAGCTCAGGGGAGGTGGTTAGCTTTAGAACTAAAAGCACCCCCAGAGTTAAAAGTTCACAGAAATGAGAAGAGGAGAATGACCAGAAGCTACCTTCCTGCTTACTTACATGTAGAACTGCATCTGGGCAAAGCCAGATGGATGTGGGCCTAACCTTTTTTTTTTTTTTTTTTTGCCTGAGATAGAATATTTGAGATATAAAGAAGTTCTTTGCAACAGGCATTGTGAAACTCAAACGGGTTACTGAGAAAGAAAAGAATTCAAGCATTATTTTGCTTAAGGATCTTTAATAGACGAGAACTGGGCCAGGAGTCAACCCTGTGGATCAGGAAAGAGAAAATGATCTGGAGGTCCAAGGGATCTTTAATTTCTGACATTTAGCAGCTATGATAGGACTCCATGAAGGGGCAGGAGTCTGTTACATGTGGAATCTGAGTTATGGAATTTTATTCACAGGAGATGAATAAATACAGTGTCCTTGTCCAGGGTCACGACACAACCTTCACCCCAGCTTTTAGTATTTGTATCTCTGTAGCTCCAAATTAGGGCATCTACCCTCACCTTGTGGCTCCTCCATATAACCCCCTTTTGTGGAACCCAGGGCCTCACCAGACTCATGGTCATGAAGGCAGTTGCATGGTAGTGTCATGAAAGGTCAATGAGAATAAGACTAAGGGGTGTAAGGCTATTGTGGGTCCAGTGTGACCATTAACAGCCCTGCATCCTGCATCCTCCCTGTTCACTCAACTGGAAAACAAGAGAATTGTACTAATTTATATTGATGGCCCATTGCAGCTTAAAAGTTTGTAGTTCCTGTCACAGTACTCTTCTGGACCACAGAGAGACATTAAAACAAATGGTTGTCCCTTCAGTACCATGGAGAGTGCAGTGGGCTACCAGAGGAGCCACTTTGGCCACCACTGTACCATAGAGACAGAACCATGAAGTGCTAGAGGGGCCCCATTTGCCATTTTAGCTGACAGAAAAGGCAGAGAAAAGCTAGATTCTTATCTGGGAACCACAAGCAGAAAAAATACAACAGTGGTACCAGAGGGATTATTTTGGCCTTTTGAATGTCACTGAAAATAGATAGATGTAATAGAAAATAGATGTAACTAGAAGAATTTTAATTAGCTAAAGGAGTGTCCTGACAGTTACAGTTTGTACATCCTGGAATGAGTTACTGAGGCATCGTATTTGGGTCCATCACATTCTGTTGCTCTCCTGGGGATTCCCGGAACATCCTGGTGTACAGCCAATCTGGTATATTCAGAGGAAGCAGATGGTGGGGGAGGAGGGGGGAGACTGGGAATACTGCATGGTCATAGCTGACTAACCTATGGGCACATACTCTGATTCAGAGTAGTTTCTAGGGCTCCTAAAACTGCCTGTAGAATAACAAGCAACATGCCTCATGGGAGGCTCACCTCTAGAATAAAGACTAGGGCAAACCAAAGCTTCTTCACCCCCTCCCCCCAAATAAAACCTAAACAAAACCCCCTGATTTGCACAGAGCAGTTTCCAGATGGAAAATACAGTGATACACAAGAAGGCCCAACCAAAGCTGAACTCCAAAGCAGGGAAAGTTTTCCCCAGAGTGGCCTCATATCAACAAGACCCAAACCGACCCTCCGCCGCCACCACCACTACCACCCTGCCCAGGGCCCAGGCAATAGCGCCAGCATCACCTCCACACCAAACCAGGTCCTAGGCACCTGATCCCATGAGGTTCTGTCGTTGTTGTTTTCAGTAGAAGAAAATATTGACAGGGCCCAAGATTTCAAGAACTGACTTGGAATGCAGGTCATGTATATATTGCCTGTGGGCAATAATCACAATTTTCTGTAATGACGCCCTAAACACCTCCATGAGACTTGGCCAGATAGCTGCACTGACCTACTTTCCACCCCCTCTGGGAATCAGGGATTATCTTACCCTTATTTGGGTTCTATAGGGATGAAGGGCCAGGGACAGGAATCAGAAATCTTCCAAAGCAACAGGCCAATTATTTTTATGTGCTAGGAGAGCTAGTAGGAAAGGGGGCATGGACCATGAAACCTTTACTGAGTAAGACAGATGGAAGGGTTGGTGAGCAACCAGGGACTAGTGCAGAGAAGGACCACAAAGCTTGTGATTCAAAAGTTTTAGGGCCAAAGTATAAGGGGCAGGCTTCAGGATTTCTGAGGTACAGCTTTAACTAGGCCTCTGTCAATGGTCTTCTCTAATACTTGATGTTTTTCCATCCATTAAGATTCCTACACCTCCTATGTCTGCTAACAATTATGGTTAACACTGCACTAGTCGGGGTTAAAAGGAAAGGGAGCTTCTTATGAAGTGGTCTACAGTCAAAATCACCTTTGTCAAGACCTCAAGGAGGTTGCAGAGTGTTCACTTTTATGGTTTCCTCTCCAAGGCCTCTAAACCTCTCTGTTCAGGGTGCTCCTCCCTACTGACCCCACACCCCAGCCTGTCCACCTTTTACCCAGAGTTCTTGGTAAAGCCCCGGCCCCTCCATCTTCACTATCCTGAGTTGGAGCCTTGGGATCTCAGTCACAGACTCCAAATGCACAACAGGAGGTAAACGATAGACACCCCCCTCACCTACTGACACCCTACTGTGGTGAATCTTATCCCAGAGGCATGTCCCAACATGACCCCTCTTCTGAAACTTCTGGAGGACCTGGATTTGGGGGAGGGAGCATGTAACCAGCCCTAAGTCCCCTTACCTGGAGCTGATCCTAGAAAAGTCAGAGTCTTAGCACCCCGATGAGCCTAGTCCGCATATTAGGGGGTAGGGGATGGGCCAGAGAGCCTCTGGGAAAACCCCCCTCCCAGAAGTAGGTTGGCAAGTAGAGCAGGACCTGTGATTCTGCACAAGAGGTTCTTCCAGCAGTGCCCCAGACCCCTCCCAAGGAAGATAAGCCAGAAGGATGATGGGGGACAGGGTTGAGAGATTGGGAGGCCAGGGCTCAGCTACCCCAGCCAGAGAACAAAAGCTGAGTTGCAGCCGCCTCCGCTGCTGCTGCTGCCGCCGGCCGAGCTCTTTGTGACACTTTGTTTGGGACGCAGAGAGGGAAGCACCCCCCATCTTCTCCCCTCCCCCACCCCCGCTCCCGGAGAGTTCGGGTCCCTTCCCCCTCCTCCATAAGCCCTACCTGGGCCGGGGGGGGGGGGTGGGGGTTGCTCATCCACTCTGGCGCCAGGTTCCGCCGCCCGGCACCCCCAGGCCCCTCGCGCCCTGCCTTCGGGCCCCTACAAAGACGCCTGCCCCCCCCCACCTTCGGCCTTTCCCCTTTGGTGTCCGCTTTTCTGGCTCCCCCACCTGATAAACCCCCTCCCTCGAGGCCCCCCTAGCTCTCCAGGCTTCCGAGGCCGCCGCCCCC